CAACAGGTTTGACGCTTATACCCCTATGATTGGCGCAATCAGTGCGCGGACCCTTTTTAAAGATGGGGACAACAATCAATCCCCCTCTCCCCACAAAGAGGGAACCTGCTCAGTGATCCAAACTTTAGATAGCAGGACGTGGAGTTCTCTAACAAGCTTTATTCCATTATCTTTAAATGGAGCTGGAGGAAGGCCATCGGAGCCCGGCGCTTTGTGACGTCCCAAGGCTTGGACCATAGGACGTGTGCCGGAATAGCTGTGTGAGAAGCTGGTGCGGGTGGCCAGCTAAATTGTGCTTTGAAGTTCTTCGCCCAGCGTTCAAAACGTCGCTGTTGATTGTGAATAAGCGAGCCGTCAACTTCATAGATCGCCTCGCTCACACCTAAGGCTTTCCTACCGGTGACTCGGATGAGATGGAACAGCCTACGGGAATTTCCCATGGCAGCAGCACGTTCCATCTCTGATGGGCGTTGAGACCACCAAATTTCAAGATCCCTGCGTAGGCTTACGTTAAGTTCACGTCTCATTACAAGCCGTGTTACTTTATGCTCGCTGCCGGTAGGAAATGACCGACGTCAAGATGGCGCAGAGACTTAGCAGAAATCCAGGGGGTCACGACACGGCGTGTCAGACCCCAACTAAGCCAGCAGAATGCAGAGCATTCTTGATAAGCGACTAATGCTCACTGACGTTATCAGGTGGTGTTGGTTCTAGCTTTTCAGCTAGTGCGTTTTGAAAGACGGCTAAGCATGCTGGTTGAGACAACTTATCGCAGTCTAACAGCCGCTGTGCCGTACTTTAAGGACGCCCACCGAAGCACATGGACAGCTTGGTGCAAACTAACGCGTGATCGGATTCGAGGGTAGTGCTCCAGTACGATCCGCAGTCTTGAATGCAACCCCGACATTTGTAGCTTATAGCGATGTGGTGTATCTGCGTTAGTCGCTGACTCGAGGAGGATGGACGCCAAATGGCGTAACGGCAGTTGGATCGTCTGAAGTTCGTACTGGCGAGGAATACGCGGTAGTCGGAACAAAGAGTCAGCAGCCATTTCCCGTTTCACGAGCGACAGGAATCTAGTCCGAAAGGATCACCCAGATGCACCTCACGTCAGTCGGCCTACTCGAGCATTCATATCTCCTGCTAAAATCACGATATCAGCTCGATTTGCTTTACGCAAGAGGTCGTGTAGCTTTTGATAGAAAGTATCTTTGAATGCATCTGGGCTACAGTTCGAAGGTGCGTACGCTGAGACGAAAAACAAGATGCGTCTTTCGGAGCGACGATTACTTACTTTGTACTAACCTCTAAGTCTCACTGTACATAACGTATTGTCGACTGAGATCCAATCCAGGAGCGCGGCTTCAGCTCTCTCACTCAGAGCCACACCAACGCCAGCAAGACCAGAAGCCGCAGCCTCAGGGTCACCAGAAAGACGCAGGTGAGATTTCGCGGATGGGTTTGACGGAGACGTCAGTCGGATGGCGGAGCTAGTCTTGAATGCGAGTCTATTGGATACAGCACACATCGATGGCTAGGGTCTCGAGAGTAAGTCCGATAAAGACCTGACAAAAGCTGTCTTGGCATCGTCTCCCTGCCGGAACTGGCGCTGTCGGTGGACAGCTGAAAACCTGGCTTGACACGGTACAAAAGGATACTGAAAACCTTCGTCCTTGTTCCGTCTACGGCGTTCGCCAATGGAAGTCAAGCTGGATCACAATCTGCGCTGATCTTGCCGCAGATCGCCGAGCGTAGGCGGCGGCATTTCGAGATATCCATGAAGCCGGTTTATCCTCTCCCAGGAGCCAACCACCGTAAAGTAAAGTAAGCAAGTTTATACACCCTTTTCTATTGCGTAATACATAAACCTCTTATTTATTACAGCTCATGTGCCTGATTTATTAGTTGAGTAAAGCGTATAATTCCGACTCCGGGTCTTCTTCATTCTGCTCTCGTTTGCTTGATTCGTAAAACGTCACAAAGGCCCTCTAGATTAGGCATAGTATTGCCAGAAAATTGACCTCTGGTAACATTAGTCTTATTTATCAATTCTGTCTAAGTCCTCACACAACATGCACGCTCTTTGCCATGTCACTCATAACCAAACGACTAGGCCAGACAATTCGTCGACACGTGTAAAGAAGAGCTCCTTAAGACCCATGGGAAGGGAACGAATAGATAACTCCTATAGAGGTTTATATTTGCATATCCTATACCGCTGAACCCATCAACGATTAATTATCAGTCCTCTTTAGCAGCCCTAATGGGACGTCCACTGCGAACATTTTATCATGCAATGGTACCATCTAAATATCATCAAAGAAGAATACCAGAACTTGAACCCCGGTGTTATGGTCTACGTGAAAAATTATTGGATCAGATGAAACTGAACAGAAGTTACTATGAAACGACGAATGGTCCGTAGGTTATACGAAACACCTGTAGAAGACGAAGTGTGGATTCGCCATAAAAATCAACTAAGAATGCGACGTGTAGAACTTTTCGCGTCAAGCCAAGGACATCCAATTCCTTTAAACGTGTTTCCGAACCGGATAACACTGATGCAGAATTCTTACCCCGCAGATAATCTGATTGAGCAAGGAGCGCTCCTAGACGAATAAGCCTGGACCAGTGGTTCTGTCAGTACAGGGAAATTCTCAATGGAGGCGTATTAAGGAGAGGACTCAGCCTTACAACCTGGAGGCGCTGATCTCCACTAGAACGACAACTTCAATCATGGAAGGTGTAATTCGAGCCAAGATAACACTAGAAGACACTCCACCCGTACGCTAATTACTCCAAATTAGTCATCGATTTTTAGGCTGGGCCCAACCCGTTCAAAGAGAACTAGAAAAACAGCTGATTCGAAAGTATAATGTCATTGACCATTTTCTTACGGGATGATAAATACACACCTACTAACTCCATCTTCTCTTCATTTTTTGGTTTCAAAGACACCATAAACACTGTAACAATGAGTACTATCAAGATATTAGAGGTAAGAATAAATCATCATGGTATAAAAAAGTCTTTTAATTGTTATTTTGAAACAATTGAGCAAAGCATTTTGGCAATACTTACCTAATATTTTGCATATCATCTTAAATGCACCGGCACATTTTGAATAACTTCATGCAATAGAGAACACACTAATTTTTACCTGGTTTTTGTAATCATTCATTTACTCATAAACAGGAAAATAGACAAAAAAGAAATCCATTTACATAAAATCATGACCAATGATCGACTTTTGGTCCGTAAGAACGTACCAGAAGTCCGCTCCCGTCGGTCGAGGCCGGAACATCCACATTTCCGGAGAGGTAGGGTAGAAATGCACTGAGTTCTTTGCGAAGGGGTCGGCTACAGTACTTCTGATAGGAATTAGCCAAGCCATAGTGCTCAATTAGATTTTTCGCCCCCGTCAATGCGGCATCTGGAGCTGGGGGTTCGGTGCCCATCAAATAAAATGGTTCACACGGAGCAACTGCCCAATTCTGACCACTGCCCACAATTTTCAGTTTGTTAATCCGCATCGATGACCCTGAGTTGGGTGTTTGCATGTGGCCCGCATTCTGTACTGTGGTCGTGATGATGGGAGAGGAATTCATCCCACAATCCAGGCCCGGTACAAGCAGCAGACAATAGTTGTGATATTGTCTGAAAGCAAAAGATAACAACAACAATGTTTCTATCAGCAATTTTGAGCAATCCAGTGGGTTTTCTGACATATGCAAATGAGAAAAGTGAAATTGGCTGAATTTTGGTGTCCACTGCTCCTGAGATCACAAAACATTCTGCTTTCATATAGTAAAATATGGCAGCGGAGTAAACGACTTAAATCATTTAATGAAGTCTCCTATCATAACGTAGTACACGACTAAATTCACCAGGTAATCATATAAAACCCTCCACCATTTACCACTGAAACTACTTCAATGAAAAGTGACAATATGTTCTCTCTATACCCTTTCACTGCTCCCCTGTGATTTTCCCTGGTTTACTGAAGACCGATCTCAAGCTGCTGAGGCGTGGTCTCTCAGTGATTAACTGTGTTTCCCACGTTTCTTTTTCTGTTCTGATTGGCATTATATATGATGCTCATTGAAACGTGCTGACGCTACTCTATCTGGTTGCACCCCTCCTTTACACACTGACCTGTGTGCATGTAAATCCCATCCCTCCACCCGGTCCATATACAAACTCATTTCATCTAGGATATCTGCCTCAAGAAACTCTTTGGTACCCTATCTTGCCCGGACACTGACCGACAAAAAGTGTTTGTTTTGAACTTTCTAATGCATTTGGTAGTTTAACATTTTGAAAGCTTGGTGCCCCACTTTTTCCCGTTTTTCCAGTATTGTGACGGTGGTCTTTTTAGATCGAAAACTTGTATATAACTCGCTGACGTTTCAATACAATACAATACCATTTCATAATATAAGTGCATTTAGGAGATACTGATTACTGGCTCGCAAAAGAGGACAGCAAGGACCCTTTTATAAACCTTCGATCAGGCGATCTTAGTATAGTTCTACAAACGTTCCACCGAGAAATCTACAATGGTGTTTGGGTTCCGGTAAAAAAAGATTGCTAAAACGCTGAAATCGCCAGAGACCCCGTAACTAACTACACAAACAAATAACACGGACGAATAAAGACAATTTTTTCAAAACAGTTTGACTGTGGAAATGGTTTTCTCATTCAAGAAAGCTTTTAGTTTATGTGATGAACAGCCATGCACTTTTCACACGATTTTGTTGCTGTCTTCCAGTTACCCAGTTAGTCAACCAATGAAGGAATAAAATTAACCGAAAAGATGAGGGCAGTAGTAAGTTAAAGATGCAGGATGTGGATAAATGGGCTATGAGATATGTGAGATAGTAAGCGGATATACAAGCGCAACTGTTTACAACACTCAGCAAAAGCACACAATGTTTCCTAATTTCGATTATAGTCAAGGGGTTCCAGTAAAACGGGAGACCCAACGCAACCTAATTCACCTATTGCAGGTTTTAATGCCCTTCAACTCATCGTCTGTACACCATTAACCGTATTCCAGCTACTGTCTACTATTGAAAACAGTGCAGTTTCGGGCAGCGATTTGAGCAACATACACCATACGCCTTAGTTCTTTGAAAACTGGGTCGGTGAGAAAGCTTAATACTCAGTTTAACTCCGGTATTGGGTATCTCCATGGATTTGTGTAATGCGACATAAACGCAAAGAATTAAGAAATGACTGAGCATTTTTCTCGGAGATCTACTAAGATTACTCGGAAATTTTTATTACTATTTCGATCCAACTGAGTGATTTATCCTACCAAATTGTTGACTATCCGTAGTAGGCAACTTAGATGTCTGGTTCAATACCCCATCTGAACTGGCTGCCACAAGATTTGGCTTGAATTTTACGACAGAAAAAGCATAGACATGAAAGAAATCGAGCTACTTGATTTTTAGATAGCGAAGAGCAACATCAAACCTAATCGGTTGGACCCGTTGCAAAAAATCAGCCGCCCACGTATTTGAAATCCCAACAAGGGATCGTGGGTTTCTCCTCTTACTGCTCGCCATGGATTTCGAACTTTTCTGTCAAAACTAATCCAATCCTTTCGATAACTCTATCTGTAAAGCAAAGCTTCGCAAGTCTAAAGCGTGAACCAGGCGTGTCGAGCTTGACAAACATTTGTCCCTGAAAATGATGGATTGCTGCTACGTTGAATCAGGAGGGGCACTCTGTGACGTTCTCTTCTAGGACATTAATTTAAAGGGAGAACTATTATTCAGCGGTTGAGAAAGGAGCGCACGCTATAGTTGAAGATGTCCGGAAATGAAGTCACATGCTACTCAGCAATCATTTTAAACTCATCACTGATCAGCGTTCTGTCTTCTTCATTTTCGGAAATCAGCACCGTGGAAGAGTCAAAAGTGACAAAATCCTACGACAGAAAACGGAATTGCCCCCTACAGCTTCGAAGTTGTGTATAGACCTGGAAAGCAGAATACGGCCGCCGACGCACTTAGTCGACCTTGTTGTGGAGCTCTCCTCGCGAGAGTGAACCTCAGAGAACTTCATGATTCCTTATGCCACCCAGAGGTTTCTCGTATGAGGCATATTGTAAGAGCTCGCAATCTGCGATTCTCGATCGAATAAAAACGTAACGTAACACCGAGATCTGTTCCGAACGAAGACCTCGATCCTAGTGTACCTTTAGATGTCATTTAATTAAGGCTACATAACCGTTTGAAAGACTGTCGATCGACTTCAACGGTCTACTGTCCTGTTCGATCCGGAAGCAGTAGCTCTTGACGTTTATCCAAGAATAATCGGGGTTCCCTTTTGCGTTCACTTGTGCGGATCTCACCAGTCGCATTGTTTTCCTTGTTCAGAATGTCCGCCTACATACATTCGAATGAGACACTTCCTTCATGGAAGTACGACACTTTCTTCATGAGAAAGGCGTTGCCATGAGTAGGAATACGCCGGCCAAGTTGATCGACTAAACGGGACTTAATGGGCAACCATTTGCTTGCTCTGAAACCCAAGAAAACCCCAGCCGAGAGCTGGGGACAAGTTTTGTTGAACGCACGCCATTTCAATCATTTGTTGTTGTGCATGACGACCAATGAAGCATCACATGAGCGATTGCTGCGCCGTAACAGACGTTCAACTTCCGATACACCCTTGCCTACTTGGATCATGACTCCTGGCACAGCCGTATTAAAAAATAATTTTGGGGCTCCCAAATACAATCCTCTTGTAGAAGAAATCGAACAATGCAACCGATTTTATACAAACGTTCGGCTTTGAAAAGTCAGAGGATACTGTGCCCATTCGACAATCATCACCAAAGGGCGTAGAGTGATCAAAGCTAGATTCGCGTTTGCTAATCTGCAGCATCTCTGGTGTCAACACAACATATCCCTTTCACTGAAAGGGCGCGTGTATTGCGCAACGGTACGAACCTTGTTGCTCTATGGCTGCGAAACCTGGACTCTTCGAGCAGATCATGTCCAACGGCTATCCGTATTAGACAACCGTTGTCTGCGGAACATCTCTCGTGTATGGAGGGAGCATGGCGTGAATAACGATGAGGTCAGACGACGTGTGTTAGGATCAGGTAGTCTTCCGTTGAGTAAACTCATTTCACTAAACTGTCTTAGGTGCCTAGGGCATGCCCTACAGATGCCTGAGCAACGTCTGCCACGCCGTGCGATATTCGAAGACATCGGGCCGGGTTGCAAGGAACAGCGAGATGGGCAGGTTACGACGTGGCGCAGAGGGTTAAAGAGGTTGAGCTCAGAACTGGCTTCCGGGCACGGCCCCAAAGATTCAGACTGTCTCTGGCAGGAGACACTGCGGGATATGGCATCGAATCGAAGTCAGTGGCGTGAATGAATCCTTTCCTGTGTGCGATCCCAAATATCAAAACAAACTCAAGAAAAAGCGTGCAGTAAAAAAACAAAAACTTGTTGGTCCCCAAGTTTACTGTTATTTTGTCCCACTTGTTGCTATATTTTGCGTTAAGCCCATGGTTATTTTGGTGCCATATTTGTAAAGATTGGTGCCTGTCTTGGCATATGTACTTTATGTATAGGCACACCTGTGGACCTGAGAGTCCCCAACCAATGAGGCGAGGAGATATCCTTGCTTGTTCTCCTCCCTTTCAGCACACCCGCATGGGGAAAACGTTCTTGAAACGGGACTAAATTGCGAGGAGCAAAAGTACCAAATCATCTGTACGCAGAGTTGGAAGCTACTCCTATCCGCCGACAACCTAACGAACTGGTCGCTCGATTGGCAACAGCCATATTCGTCCTGTGAAAACTGAACTGAACTAATCAGCCTTAAACTCTACTACATTCAACTTCTGGGATGAAATGCAGTAGGGACTTCTCCCGTGTGAGCCTCCTCTCCGGATCCGGACAAGCTACCCATCAGCTTGCCATCTGATTAATAGGAAATCATCCAGCCGCCGTTTGAACTTGTCATCATTTTTCTCTTCCACCACATCCACCGGGACAGCATTCCAAATATTGGTCACTCTCCTGGAGAGACGGTACACTGACGGTAGTCCGGTCGACTCCTGCTTCCGAAGCGTGAAACAGTGACCGCGAGTACGTGCATCGTTGCGCAATGGAAACTTTTCTTTCAGTTCCTCCTCCAGGTCACTGCGGATAATTTTCCTGATCAGCAGGATATCACCACGAATGCGTCTGTAACTGTCCATTTACAGGCCCATAATGACAAGACGCTGGTCATAACTGTCCTCGTAGACCCGCAGCTAGATGGGTAGCTGCTCGCTGTACACGTTCAATCTTCGCCATCTCCCCTCGTGTGATCAGAAAAGCCGCCGCTCCCCCATACTCCAGACGACGGATTGCCGTGGCGTACAGGAGTTTGGAAGTTTTTCTCGAAAGTGGTCCGAACGACCAGCTAATTGCACCCAGGAGAAGAAAACATTTTGTCCATGTGTCTTCTGGTCTTGAGGGACGATGCGATGATCACCCCTAAGTCCCTCTCATGGTCGCTCATCCTGAGGAGAACACCGTTTAATGTG